ACGTGCTCGTTTCTGCGGCACCAGCTCCCTTGGAAATGTCTCAGATCATCAGATTCACACAGAGGCACGTCAGTGGTGCCTATTGCTTGGTCTCTGCTCAGCCAGAGCTGCCAGCAAGACTTTCTGGGCCCATGTGTAGTGGTCACCAGGGCCATGACAGCATGAGATGGAAAGCAGGGCAAAGCGCACCTTTGTAGCCACCATAGTCACCACCGGCTGCTGTGCTGGGGAGCCTGTTGAGAGGAGAACGCGGCTGCACAGGGTTTTCCCTTTCATTCCTGTGTCCTGCACTCTCCCCACCTTTTCACTCCTGTACCAGGTGATCTGTCTGCCATCGGCTGTGAGCCCCGCAAACACAGCTTTGTGCACGAAGACCTCTTTTACTGTCCGTAAAACAGCAGTCTTGTGAGCCGATCTTGCAGGTGACTGAATTCATACAGTGCCTGGGCGTGGGCATCCGGATCCTGTGCCAGGTGCTTGAAGAGGTTGAGTGGCTCAGCCCTTTGGAAGGCTGGGGGCAAGATGATCTCCTTGGGCACGTTCTCACTGCCGGAGAAGAAGTGGTCAAGGCGTTTCTCCTCCAGGCAGCTGCGCAGGTGGCACATGATATCCTGCAGCCGCGGTAGGAATTCTCTCCTGCTCCAGCTTGACAGGGGTGTGGTGTTCAGGAGGTGCATCACAACTGTCTTCAAGGTATAGTTGGAAAAGCTTGTGCCCACCAGGATGTGGGTGTAGACCTGCAGGCATTTAGCATGGAAGCTGTCACGTGGGGCCTGCGTGGCCATATGCCTGAAGAACTTCACCTCTGCCACAGCACAGCTCTCTGTCCACATTGTGCTGGGGGTGAAGATGGCCTCTGTACTCTCGCTGGTCACGAAGATGTCTGAGTCGCCTTGCTGCACTCCAAACATGAGCTCAATGATGAATCTTTTCTGATCGGTTTTTGTCACCTGGAATTTGCAGGAGCGGTTGAAGGGCATCATCTTTAGACGGCAACTGCCCGCCTGGGGCAAAGCCACCCAGGCTGCTTTCACCAATTGGTGGAACCAGCGGGCAGTTTTCTGGACATCTAGATAGGAGCCACTGCAGAGAGTGCTTAGGAGGCAGGGTTTCTGATTCTTCCTCAGCTCCTCCTCAGAGTGGTGGAGGAAGCACAGCATGTCCCCCACTAGCCGCTCCCTCGTGCAGATGCACTCTTGCTCCACGCGAATGCAGAAGTTCCTTGTCTGCATCTCCCCAGTATCGCACAGCTCCAGGTGGAAGGAGTGCCAAAGGGGAGCCTTCATGGGCACGAGCACATGGTAGGTGATGACTTCTTCATGGGGACTCCAACCTTCAAAGGCGCTGCCCACCCCGATGGCTGATTGCAGCTCCGGGAATAAACTATCTGCCAAGATCGTTTTGAAGATAAGGATCAAGTTGCCCACCAGACCCTCCACAGTCTGGCAATCTGTGGCCGGGTTCACAGCTAGATGCGGTATGTGCTGCTCAAAAATCCCTCTCCAGTCATTTGCGCCATCATCATTGTCTTCCTCCTCAATGTCTTGCGCCTGCTCACTGTCGCTGCTGGAGACTTCCTCGTCGCTGCTGTCTGGCTCATTGGCCCTTTTCATGAGCCACCACCGGAAGCTCGAGACCAGTAGCAGCATTAAAGCAATCACCCAGAACTGCCACTGATGCAAGGCGGCAAAGCGCGGGGCCCTCCTGCCCAAGTGCCTCTGCTGCTCCAGCTCCTGCAGCAGCCGATTCATCTGCTGGGTCAGATACTCCTCACGCTGCTGCATGAGCTCGCGCGTATCCTCGTCCAGCTCATCCCCCACCATCTGCGGGAACTGGAAGACGCTTTGCACAAGCAAGGCAAGGAACAATATGGTAGCCATGGCCTGCAGGAGTAGGGAGAGAAGGGGTTGAGCGGGGCTGGGAGGGAAGGAGGGAGCCAGCGGCAGGGGGAGCAGGGACGGGAGCCGCAGGGAGCTGGGGGCAGGTGGGAGAAGGAGCGAGGCAGTCGGGAGGGCCCAAGGCCTGTGCCCGGCCCTGCCGGCGGCGGCACCACCAGGCCCTCCCTCCAGCAGCTGGGCCCTTGATGCTGCGTGAGAACCCACCCCCCTGGCGGCCCTGGCCCTGGTCCAGCCCAGCCTCCCCCCGCGAGCCCACTCACCACTGTCCCGTGCCGTATGGGGCCCGCGCTGCCTGATGGCCCCCTTATAGCCGCCCCCATTGTGATGCATCCCCTGTGGTGTCCCAGGCCCAGAGGGCATCACAGACATGGCCGGCAACCAGGGACACCCTTTGGCCCCACCCCGGCTCAGCCACTCACAGCTGCCCTGGGCAGCCACAGCCCCAACCCCACAAAGTACAGCTAAGATTACTTAGCTAAGTTTTCAAAGTTCGGCATACTATTAGCCACTTGCCAAAGATATGTTGTGGCAAGAAATCTCTGCATCTCAAGAAGTTACGTTGCTCCAGTTAGGCCTTGGCTCTTGTGGTGTTATCTGTCTTCCGGAAACCATTTTGAGCCCCAGATGCCGCCATCACAACTAGATGCCCCCCTTATGATCACCACAGGTGGTTATGGCTTGGAGTTGGCAGTGTTAGGTTAACAGCTGGATTCGACCTGAAAGGTCTTTTCCAACCTCAGCAATTTTGTGGTTCTATGATTCCATGATTTATCTTTATGTTTGCCCAGTGTGGAGTCAGAAGTTGTTCTTAATGGACTTCATGCATCCTGTCCAACTTGGGATTTTTACAGGAAAAAAAAACCCAGAAAGAAAACAAAACAAAACAAAAAAAAGCCACAAAAAAAAAAACAACAACTACAAAACAAAACAACAAAACAAAAACCGCAACACCCCACCACATCACACTCACCCATAAACCAGTAATCTTGGGCACTAGGACTTTCCCTGAAGAGCCATGTCTACATATTTCTTAGATACCTCCAAGGATGGTGACTCTACCACCTCCCTGGGCAGGCTGTTCCAGTGGCTGACCACTCTCTTAGTAAAGTAATTCTTCCCAATATCTAATCTAAACCTCCCTTGCCACAACTTAAGATCATTTCCTCTGCTCCTGTCATTATTCCCTTGGGAGAAGAGGCCAACACCCACCTCTCTACAACCTCCTTTCAAGTAGCTGTAGAGGGCAATGAGGTCTACCCTCAGCCTCCTCCGAACGAAACATGCCCAGTTCCCTCAGCCTCTCCTCATATGACTTTTCTCCAGACCCCTCACTAGCTTGGTGGCTCTCCTCTGGACACGCTCCAGCACCTCAATGTCCTTCCTGTAGTGAGGGGCCCAAAACTGAACACAGTACTCAAGGTGAGGCCTCACCAGTGCCAAGTACAGAGGCACGATGACTTCTCTACTCCTGCTGGCAAATCATTTTCTATGATTATGAGTTTGCCATTGGCAGGCAGCTGATAATAAACCTAAATATAGCACCACACAAGCTTCTGGGAAGACAATTAACTGTAGTCCGGCCTTAAGCAGTACTCCCTTTTGTAGCTTTACCCTGTACAAAGAATAAATCACTTGTTTGAAGAAATGCTGTGTCTGTGAGTGGCCATGCAGCACTTTCTTGGGGAAGGCGTTCATAGGGTCTGGCTGCTCAGCTGCCACAGGGAGAGAGCCTTTTGCAGAAGGAAGCTGTAAGAGAGCCTTTTGCAGAAGAGCTGGTGCAGTGGCCTCTGGTTTTGTGATTCATTGGGCTTTGGCATCCCAGGTGTTATGGGTTAATCCCAGTAGACAGCTTGGCATCACATAGCTGCTCAGTCCCTTGCCCCTGGTGGGATAGTGGTGAGAATCTGATGGGTAAAAGTGGGAAAACTCTTGCATTGAGAGTGGACAGTTTAGTAGATAATGAGAGAGCTACATGGCCAGGCAAAGCAAGATAAAGAATTCATTCACTACACCCCTGCTCTGCTGACCAGACCTTGCCTTTTTGGGAAGTGTTCTGCCTCCCTGGGGTTCAGGCTGAAGTCATTGCCAAGAAACTTCCCAGCCTTGTACAGCCCTCAGATTATTAGGCTCTCTTGCTTTTTCATGTGGGTACCAATGAAGTTGTGATGGGAAGCACAAGGGCAGTGAAAAGAGGCTGCAGGGCCTCGGGGAGATTGGTAAAGGGATCAGGAGCACAGGTAGTATTCTCCTCTGTCCTCCCAGTTGCAGGGAATAATGTCAAAAGAAACAGGCAAACCTTCCCTCCAGTGTGTCAACCACACCACATATCTTGGTGTGGTTGGCAAACTTGCTGAGAGTGCACTCAATCCCACTGTCCATGCTATTAAACAGCACCAATAACGATCTCTGAGGAACTTCACTTGGCACTGGTGTTTATTTGGACTTTGAGCCACTGACCGCAACTCTTTGTGGCCATCCAGCCAATTTCTTATCCACCAAGTGCTCCACTCTTCAAATCCATGCCTTTCCAATTTAGAGACAAGGATGTCATGCGGAATAGCGTCAAATGCTTTGCAAAAGTCCAGGTAGATATCTTCTCAAATAGTTTCTTCCTGGTGCTGCAGCCAGCCATCAGGGTGGGCAGGACTTTTGAAGGCTGGAGTCCTCATGAGGATGATGCTATCTACTGCCTGCTTCTGCCCCTGCACCCTCTCCTTGGGCATGCCTTCCACATCTGGGCACCGTGAAGGAGATAATGATGAGAGACTCCTGCATCTGCGTGGACCTGGAGTGTACCTGCACAATGGAGTGGCTGGTGGAGAAGATGCTGTGCTTCCTCCACCACCATGAGGATGTGTTGATATTTGGCAAAGGCAAAGGCAACTCAGACATCTTCCTAAGCATTTGGTCAGTTGACGAGGGGAGCTGCTCCAGAACTTGACCCACAGCGAATGGCAGATCTCAGCACATTGTGGAGGTTCCTGAGGCAGGGAAATGTCAGGGCAGTGGAGATACCCACCAGGAGCTGGAAGCTCTCACAGGAGATGCTGACAAGACCTGGGCCTTGCCAGAGCAACCACAACCACCCTCACACCTATAAACAGCATCCTGGGGAGTGCAAGCAACCAGGAGTACAGTGAACAGAGCAGGCAAACAGAGTGTGGCCCATTAGTTTGCACGTCATTTTGCATGGAAGGGAGTGCAAGGGGATATTCACCCTACCAGCTCAAGAAGTCTCTTGCGTAATGGTGGGAACTTCCCTCAGAGTAAAAAACAGTATTTCTACAGAGAAAGCCCCTGAGATATCTGAGGCTTCCACCCAGGTGGAACTGGTAAGGAAGGAGATTTCAGTACAGAAGGTACAGTGCAACGAGTGCCCAGACCCTTCTGGAGAAAAGATAAGTACCTGCACAAGATGCGCACAGGTTGATGATCTGTTGTGTCAGGTGGCTGAGCTGCAGGAAACAGTTAAAAGGCTGCGTAGTATTAGAGGGGCCAAGGAGGGATAGGTAAGTGTTTCAGAACCACATTCCTATGGCAGGAACCACAGACAATGAGGCACCTTGGACCCTGGTGACCCACAAAAGCAGCACTCTGCTTCAGTCCCTACCCTCTATTACAACCAAAACCAACTATGAAGCTTTAACAGCTGTAGACATCCAGGAACAAGGTCTGCAAAGAGAAACTGTACCAGCAGCACACAGTGGATACCACAAAAAGAAACAACGAGTGCTCGTAGTGGGTGACTCTCTGTTAGGGGGCACCAAGGTGCCAGTTTGCCAGCCTGACAGGGAGCCACGGGAGGCGTGCTGCCTTCTGGGAGCTAAGGTCCAAAATGTTGTCAAGAGCGTGCCACAACTTTTCAAGAGGACAGACTATGATCCATTGCTACTCTTTCGTGTGGATACAAATGACACTGCAAGCTGAAACCTGAGCAAGATCAAGAAAGACTACAAAGCCTTGGAGATGCAAGAAAAAGTATTGGTACCAAGTTATCTTTTCCTCCATGTCACCAAATAGAAGAAAGGGTGCAACCAGAAATAGACATATAATGCAAATCTACTTCTGGCTTCATGTCTGGTGCCATTGTAAGAGTTCTGGCTTTTGTGACAATGGGACATTCTTCAATAACTATAGCCTACTAGGGAGGGATGGGATCCACCTGCCTCAAAGAGGTGAGGTAGTATTTGGCAGCAGGCTGGCCAACTTGGTGAGGTGAGCTTTCAACTGAAGGACTCGGGGCAGGGGGGGGTCCAAAGTGGCAATGCTCATGCCACTGCAACCAACTGGGGAATAAGCCAGGCCAACAGAACAGCAACAAATGTTCCTTATTTGCCTCCCAAGATGTGACCCAGAAGGCCAACCACCTCAAGTGTATGTATAGCAATGCACACAGCTTGGGGAACAAACAGGAGGAACTAGAACTCCACACCCTGTCAACTTGGTGATTGCGTCACGTTGTCTGGGGTGAGGTTCGCAGGTACTGCCCTGAGGTCCCAGTCCTCCAAATATGTTGAATCACCTCCCTTGCATTCGAGGACTTGACTCAGCCATCTCTGGTCTCTCCATGTCAGCTCCTGAGGAAAGCAGCCTCCCTTCTTTGGTGTGTGAGCATACTGTGCATATCCCAGCTGGGCTGGCTTCCAGCTGTGGTAACACCCCATGGGCATGAGTTTCTGCCCATCATGCTCACTGGCACATCCTCTTGTATTGCTACTACTTCCCAGAGTGTGACCTTGTGTACCAGCGTCCCTCAGCAAATCCTCTTGGCCAGACACTTGCTTCACTTTCCAGAGAACAGATATGGGGCTGAAATGGCTGGCGATCAGCCCTCCTTAATGATGCTGGTCTTTGGCTAGGGTTCCCTGCTCGTTATGTGCAGTAAGACTTGAGCAATATCTCAAGTCTTGTCCAGGAATCAAGTCCTCCTGATTCCTGCCCAGCTGGGGAAGGCAGGCACTACAGTCACAGGGCTTCACCTTTAACGGAGCAGCCAGATTTTGTGCCTAACTACCATGGCAATAGTTCAGTCAAACAGAGGTCTTGTTTCACATTGTCAAGTAAGATTAATACATCACAAGGTTCATTGACTTGATAACATAGATGGAGGAAAGAGAACAACATTCTGTCTCACTGCTTGATAGACAAGGAGGAAAGTCCTGCTTGTCTGGGATGGACAGCATGTGAAATTCTCTGTGCCCTCTGCTCTTCTCATTCACTTTGGATCACTGGGCCAATATCAATGGCATGAGTTTCAACAAGGGCAAGTGCCAGGTTCTGCACACTTGGGCCACAATAACCCCATGCAGCGCTACAGGCTTGGGGAAGAGTGGCTGGAGCTGCCTGGAGGAAAGAGACCTGGGGGTTCTAATTGACAAGCGGCTAAATATGAGCCAGCAGTGTGCCCAGGTGGCCAAGAAAGCCAACGGCATCCTGGCTTGTATTAGAAATACCGTGACCAGCAGAAGTAGGGAGGTGATTATGCCCCTGTACTTGGCACTGGTGAGGCCACACCTTGAGTATTGTGTCCAGTTCTGGGCACCTCAATACAAGAGAGATCTGGAGGTGCTGGAGCAAGTGCAGAGGAGGGCAACGAAACTAGTGAAGGGCCTGGAAGACAAATCATATAAAGAGCGGCTGAAGGAGCTGGGACTGTTTAGTATGAGGAAGAGAAGGCTGAGGGGAGACCTCATCACTCTCTACAACTACTTGAAAGGACACTGTAGAGAGGTTGGTGCTGGTCTCTTCTCAGAGGTAATTAACGACAGAACAAGAGGGAACAGCTTCAAGCTCCAACAGGGTAGGTTTAGACTGAACATTAGGAAGGAATTTTTCACGGAAAGAGTGGTCAGGCATTGGAATAGGCTGCCCAGGGAGGTGGTTGAGTCACCATCCCTGGCTGTGTTTAAGGGACGTTTAGATGGGGTACTGAGGGATATGGTGTAGGGGAGGGCTTTGCAGAGTAGGGTAGATGGTTGGACTCGATGATCCCAAGGGTCTCTTCCAACCTGAATGATTCTATGATTCTATGATTTTGTATATTGCACCATGCACCTTAATATAGCATAGCAGTAGTTTATAATGAGAGCTCCTTTCAGGTTAGAAGTCTACCCATGAATGGCCTCTAGCTGGAGCCAGAGATTTATATATTCCACACAGTTCTGAAGAAGCATAAGTGAATGACTGAAGATGTTCTTGCCCTCTCCAAAACATCAGTCTTCCATAGTCTATAGTTGGTCTTTAGTCGTGTTAAAGCAACATGAGCTGGGAAAGAGTTGAAACAGGCATTTCCACATGCTTGGCTACCCCAATTCACACCTACCGTGGAACAAAGGGTGGGAATTGCCTATAAAATACTTGTTGAGATTTTCCCCCCTCTCTAGCAGCTGGTTTTTTTTTTGTGTTGTGATCCCTTCTCTTGTCGTGGTGATGCAAAATGCAATAAAACATGAAGGCCATCAATCAGTTTGGTCACTGCAGAGATCAGGGATTAATCCGTTGCAAAGGACAGGGTAGAGTCAAACATGCCATGTCAAGTGTGGAGTGCTGTAACAGGCCACGGCAGCACTGGCATGAAAGACCTGACAGGCCCAGCCCAAGGAAGGAGTAAAGCATACACATGTGCTGCCAGGGGCTTTGGGTCACTGCTGAGCCCATCCCACTGGAGGTACAATTGGTAAGCTGCCAAGGAGAAACTTGAAGCAGGCTGGGGTTTTCAGACTTTGGCAGGGTGGCAAAGCTGAATCCTGGCATAAGTGCAACCACTGTGGCTTGAATTTCTCTCCATACAAGCACAATACACATGGTGCTATACTGAGTTGTCCACAGCACCTGCTGTCTGTGGGCACTGGCATCTCCTCAGGGTTAAGTTCTGGCCAAAGCATCACCTCAGAGGAGAACATGTCTTTGTATTTCTGCAGGAGATTATTGAAACCGGTGGCTGATGCTTCTGCTGAAGCATTCCCAATGGGTTTGGCAACCTGTGGGTGAGAGCTAGTGGCACGATCAGAAGCAGGTTTTGACTGAAATAGGTTTGTAGAGTCATTTCATAAAGTCATTAGTAGCAACTTCACTCTGATGCTAGAGTTTATGCAGCTCCTTTTCCATGCACTCTCCTCATCTTGATTTCTACCCTCATCCTTGGGACAGGAAAATAGGCTTTGGTGGGTGAGAGGTAGTGAAAAAGTCTGATGCCATGGGGCAGTGGGTTGCTTTATTTCTGCCAGGGCCAGACCTTCCTCCAGAAAAGGCTATGATCCTTGTAGTCCCTAATCATATGGCTTGACTGCTCTGAGTTGAGTTACAAGCTGCAAGAGATGTTTGGCAAGCTGAAGGCAGATCACAGAAAGCACAGATATAAAAACAGGGTGAGTGATTGAATGGCTAAAGTCTCTTAGCCACATCAATCACAGTCTGTGTTTGCCAGGCATATTAAAATGATGTGTACACAAAACACTGGTAGGGAATGGTGGAAAAGTTGCTATTTCCAAACACGCTTCCTGGAATCATGCATGTTTCATGTAACAATTAATGGAAGCTGCTGTGCAAGTGTTATAACCCCATATTGTTTCAATACTGTTTATCATACAATAGAGTTATTGCAATATTATTATTGTATATTATTCTGTATTATTAAAATTATTACAGTATTATTTCAATACTTCTTACATAGGGTAAGAATTTGACAAGCTAGCCATGGGAGCAGAGGAAGATGGAGACAGCCCAGGCATGAAGGAGACTTAGTTTACTGAAGTCTCTTTTGATTTCTACCCTGCAATCCTGTTGCAACCCTCCAAATCATTAGCAGGATGAATGTGGGACAGGATACAGCCCAGATGCTGGCAGCTGTGAGTTGACTCCAGCCATACCAAATGGGTCTTCCAGATAGGCTAGGACATGGCTTTGGGAACAGTGCTGGCAGCTAATCCTCTGGCAATACCCCACTGCTCAGTTACCCTATTGCACAACCCTGCCTGCTTTCAGGTTAAAGCCTGGGGGACCAGCTGCTCTCCCAGCTCCTGACCACAAGCTCAGGAGAGATAATAGGTGTTACCCATTAAAACCCTTAATATCACACACCATAAAGAGAGGGGTGGAGTCACCTTTTTGGGACTGATCTAGGCAGGTCTGAGAGTGGAAAAGCCAAATCCAGGTCTCCAACACTGGAAATGTCACAGGTCTTACTGTCAAAAAAACCCCAAACCCCAAACAACCCAAACAACCCAAACAAACAAACAAAACCCCAAAAAACCCAAACACCCTTTCACTTGTGTCCTCCCTTGCCAAGCGGGCAGGAGGCTGAAGTGGTGCCAGGGACCGCTCAGGTAAAGGACACCAGACCTCCCGCAGCACAGATAATGCTCATTCTGTCCCCACTCTGTGACAGGGGAGTTGGGTTCCTCTGCGATGAGGACTTTTGGGTACTTAGTATGTATTTTGTTGAGTTGTTCAGCCTGTCATTAGCAGCAGCTTCTCTTTATCACTGGAACAAATTAAACAATTGGGCCTGGAGGATGTTTATTTTTTTGGCTCAGTACCTAATAAATGATGCCCCTATCATTTCTCCTGCTTCCCCAGCTACAGCTCTGAGCTGGTCCTGCAGCACACAGTGCACTTTGCTATTGCTCTGATGTGTCTAAATACTCACAGTTGCTAATATGGAGAGGTGTTCACTGCTGAGTGATTTCAGAGCTATTCACTGGTGCCTGAGTGTTAGATTTGGGTGAAGGTGTCTGGTTAACTCAGTTGTGGGGCTTCTTCACCCAAGTTAGGACCCACCCTCAGGTCTCCCAGAGACCCCTTCTGCAAAGCCTGACCTTGCAGATAAGCAAAATTCATACTGACATCCTGAGACATTCCAGCACCTACTTTTAGTCCAAAACCTAAAATTTTCTACAAGGAATAGTCAGATTTTTCCTTCTGCTTTTGTAGAGATCGATTCCCTTGTTTCACATATTTAGTAGAAAAGTTCTCCTCACACGGAGGAAACACTTTATGGCAGCCTGAATATAGGGATAGTGAGGTGGATTGAGAACTGGCTGTGTGACACGACCCAAAGGGTAATGATTAATGGAGCAGGTTCAAGCTGGAGACCTGTAACTAGTGGTGTCCCCCAGGGGTCAATACTTGGTCCAGTCCTGTTCAACATATTCATCAGTGACCTGGATGAGGGGACAGAGCGTATCCTCAGCAAGTTTGCTGATGGTACCAAACTGGGAGGGGTGGCTGACACCCCGGAGGGCTGTGCTGCCATCCAGCGAGACTTGGACAGGCTGGAGGGCTGGGCAATGAAGAACCTCATGAGGTTCAACAGGGAAAAGTGTAGGGTCCTGCACCTGGGGAAGAAGAATGTCAGGCACTAATACAGGTTAGGGGTGGACCCGCTGGAGGCAAGTTCCGAAGAGAAAGATCTGGGGGTCCTGGTAGACAGCAAAATGACAATGAGCAAGCAGTGTGCTCTTGTGGCCAGGAAGGCCAATGGAATCCTGGACTCCATAGGGAAGAGTGTGGCCAGCAGGTCAAGGGAAGTCATTCTCCCTCTCTACTCTGCACTGGTGAGGCCACAACTGGAGTACTGCGTCCAGTTCTGGGCTCCCCAGTTCAAGAGGGACAAGGAGCTACTGGAAATAGTCCAGCATAGGGCAATGAAGATGATTCAAGGATTGGAGCATCTCCCTTATGAGGAGAGACTGAGAGAGCTGGGACTCTTTAGTCTGGAGAAGAGAAGGCTGAGGGGAGACCTTATCAAGCTGCTGTCTGCCTGCTGGATCCTTTTCCTGAGCCACCACCAGAAGCTCAGGATCAGTACCAGCATTACAGCAATCACCCAGAACTGCCACTGATGCAAGGTGGCAAAGCGCGGGGCGCTCCTGCCCAAGTGGCTCTGCTGCTCCAGCTCCTGCAGCAGCCGATTCATCTGCTGGGTCAGATACTCCTCACGCTGCTGCATGAGCTCGTGCGTGTCCTCGTCCAGCTCATCCCCCACCATCTGCGGGAACTGGAAGACGCTTTGCACAAGCAAGGCAAGGAACAATATGGTAGCCATGGCCTGCAGGAGTAGGGAGAGAAGGGGTTGAGCGGGGCTGGGAGGGAAGGAGGGAGCCAGCGGCAGGGGGAGCAGGGACGGGAGCCGCAGGGAGCTGGGGGCAGGTGGGAGAAGGAGCGAGGCAGTCGGGAGGGCCCAAGGCCTGTGCCCGGCCCTGCCGGCGGCGGCACCACCAGGCCCTCCCTCCAGCAGCTGGGCCCTTGATGCTGCGTGAGAACCCACCCCCCTGGCGGCCCTGGCCCTGGTCCAGCCCAGCCTCCCCCCGCGAGCCCACTCACCACTGTCCCGTGCCGTATGGGGCCCGCGCTGCCTGATGGCCCCCTTATAGCCGCCCCCATTGTGATGCATCCCCTGTGGTGTCCCAGGCCCAGAGGGCATCACAGACATGGCCGGCAACCAGGGACACCCTTTGGCCCCACCCCGGCTCAGCCACTCACAGCTGCCCTGGGCAGCCACAGCCCCAACCCCACAAAGTACAGCTAAGATTACTTAGCTAAGTTTTCAAAGTTCGGCATACTATTAGCCACTTGCCAAAGATATGTTGTGGCAAGAAATCTCTGCATCTCAAGAAGTTACGTTGCTCCAGTTAGGCCTTGGCTCTTGTGGTGTTATCTGTCTTCCGGAAACCATTTTGAGCCCCAGATGCCGCCATCACAACTAGATGCACCCCTTATGATCACCACAGGTGGTTATGGCTTGGAGTTGGCAGTGTTAGGTTAACAGCTGGATTCGACCTGAAAGGTCTTTTCCAACCTCAGCAATTTTGTGGTTCTATGATTCCATGATTTATCTTTATGTTTGCCCAGTGTGGAGTCAGAAGTTGTTCTTAATGGACTTCATGCATCCTGTCCAACTTGGGATTTTTACAGGAAAAAAAAACCCAGAAAGAAAACAAAACAAAACAAAAAAAAGCCACAAAAAAAAAAACAACAACTACAAAACAAAACAACAAAACAAAAACCGCAACACCCCACCACATCACACTCACCCATAAACCAGTAATCTTGGGCACTAGGACTTTCCCTGAAGAGCCATGTCTACATATTTCTTAGATACCTCCAAGGATGGTGACTCTACCACCTCCCTGGGCAGGCTGTTCCAGTGGCTGACCACTCTCTTAGTAAAGTAATTCTTCCCAATATCTAATCTAAACCTCCCTTGCCACAACTTAAGATCATTTCCTCTGCTCCTGTCATTATTCCCTTGGGAGAAGAGGCCAACACCCACCTCTCTACAACCTCCTTTCAAGTAGCTGTAGAGGGCAATGAGGTCTACCCTCAGCCTCCTCCGAACGAAACATGCCCAGTTCCCTCAGCCTCTCCTCATATGACTTTTCTCCAGACCCCTCACTAGCTTGGTGGCTCTCCTCTGGACACGCTCCAGCACCTCAATGTCCTTCCTGTAGTGAGGGGCCCAAAACTGAACACAGTACTCAAGGTGAGGCCTCACCAGTGCCAAGTACAGAGGCACGATGACTTCTCTACTCCTGCTGGCAAATCATTTTCTATGATTATGAGTTTGCCATTGGCAGGCAGCTGATAATAAACCTAAATATAGCACCACACAAGCTTCTGGGAAGACAATTAACTGTAGTCCGGCCTTAAGCAGTACTCCCTTTTGTAGCTTTACCCTGTACAAAGAATAAATCACTTGTTTGAAGAAATGCTGTGTCTGTGAGTGGCCATGCAGCACTTTCTTGGGGAAGGCGTTCATAGGGTCTGGCTGCTCAGCTGCCACAGGGAGAGAGCCTTTTGCAGAAGGAAGCTGTAAGAGAGCCTTTTGCAGAAGAGCTGGTGCAGTGGCCTCTGGTTTTGTGATTCATTGGGCTTTGGCATCCCAGGTGTTATGGGTTAATCCCAGTAGACAGCTTGGCATCACATAGCTGCTCAGTCCCTTGCCCCTGGTGGGATAGTGGTGAGAATCTGATGGGTAAAAGTGGGAAAACTCTTGCATTGAGAGTGGACAGTTTAGTAGATAATGAGAGAGCTACATGGCCAGGCAAAGCAAGATAAAGAATTCATTCACTACACCCCTGCTCTGCTGACCAGACCTTGCCTTTTTGGGAAGTGTTCTGCCTCCCTGGGGTTCAGGCTGAAGTCATTGCCAAGAAACTTCCCAGCCTTGTACAGCCCTCAGATTATTAGGCTCTCTTGCTTTTTCATGTGGGTACCAATGAAGTTGTGATGGGAAGCACAAGGGCAGTGAAAAGAGGCTGCAGGGCCTCGGGGAGATTGGTAAAGGGATCAGGAGCACAGGTAGTATTCTCCTCTGTCCTCCCAGTTGCAGGGAATAATGTCAAAAGAAACAGGCAAACCTTCCCTCCAGTGTGTCAACCACACCACATATCTTGGTGTGGTTGGCAAACTTGCTGAGAGTGCACTCAATCCCACTGTCCATGCTATTAAACAGCACCAATAACGATCTCTGAGGAACTTCACTCGGCACTGGTGTTTATTTGGACTTTGAGCCACTGACCGCAACTCTTTGTGGCCATCCAGCCAATTTCTTATCCACCAAGTGCTCCACTCTTCAAATCCATGCCTTTCCAATTTAGAGACAAGGATGTCATGCGGAATAGCGTCAAATGCTTTGCAAAAGTCCAGGTAGATATCTTCTCAAATAGTTTCTTCCTGGTGCTGCAGCCAGCCATCAGGGTGGGCAGGACTTTTGAAGGCTGGAGTCCTCATGAGGATGATGCTATCTACTGCCTGCTTCTGCCCCTGCACCCTCTCCTTGGGCATGCCTTCCACATCTGGGCACCGTGAAGGAGATAATGATGAGAGACTCCTGCATCTGCGTGGACCTGGAGTGTACCTGCACAATGGAGTGGCTGGTGGAGAAGATGCTGTGCTTCCTCCACCACCATGAGGATGTGTTGATATTTGGCAAAGGCAAAGGCAACTCAGACATCTTCCTAAGCATTTGGTCAGTTGACGAGGGGAGCTGCTCCAGAACTTGACCCACAGCGAATGGCAGATCTCAGCACATTGTGGAGGTTCCTGAGGCAGGGAAATGTCAGGGCAGTGGAGATACCCACCAGGAGCTGGAAGCTCTCACAGGAGATGCTGACAAGACCTGGGCCTTGCCAGAGCAACCACAACCACCCTCACACCTATAAACAGCATCCTGGGGAGTGCAAGCAACCAGGAGTACAGTGAACAGAGCAGGCAAACAGAGTGTGGCCCATTAGTTTGCACGTCATTTTGCATGGAAGGGAGTGCAAGGGGATATTCACCCTACCAGCTCAAGAAGTCTCTTGCGTAATGGTGGGAACTTCCCTCAGAGTAAAAAACAGTATTTCTACAGAGAAAGCCCCTGAGATATCTGAGGCTTCCACCCAGGTGGAACTGGTAAGGAAGGAGATTTCAGTACAGAAGGTACAGTGCAACGAGTGCCCAGACCCTTCTGGAGAAAAGATAAGTACCTGCACAAGATGCGCACAGGTTGATGATCTGTTGTGTCAGGTGGCTGAGCTGCAGGAAACAGTTAAAAGGCTGCGTAGTATTAGAGGGGCCAAGGAGGGATAGGTAAGTGTTTCAGAACCACATTCCTATGGCAGGAACCACAGACAATGAGGCACCTTGGACCCTGGTGACCCACAAAAGCAGCACTCTGCTTCAGTCCCTACCCTCTATTACAACCAAAACCAACTATGAAGCTTTAACAGCTGTAGACATCCAGGAACAAGGTCTGCAAAGAGAAACTGTACCAGCAGCACACAGTGGATACTACAAAAAGAAACAACGAGTGCTCGTAGTGGGTGACTCTCTGTTAGGGGGCACCAAGGTGCCAGTTTGCCAGCCTGACAGGGAGCCACGGGAGGCGTGCTGCCTTCTGGGAGCTAAGGTCCAAAATGTTGTCAAGAGCGTGCCACAACTTTTCAAGAGGACAGACTATGATCCATTGCTACTCTTTCGTGTGGATACAAATGACACTGCAAGCTGAAACCTGAGCAAGATCAAGAAAGACTACAAAGCCTTGGAGATGCAAGAAAAAGTATTGGTACCAAGTTATCTTTTCCTCCATGTCACCAAATAGAAGAAAGGGTGCAACCAGAAATAGACATATAATGCAAATCTACTTCTGGCTTCATGTCTGGTGCCATTGTAAGAGTTCTGGCTTTTGTGACAATGGGACATTCTTCAATAACTATAGCCTACTAGGGAGGGATGGGATCCACCTGCCTCAAAGAGGTGAGGTAGTATTTGGCAGCAGGCTGGCCAACTTGGTGAGGTGAGCTTTCAACTGAAGGACTCGGGGCAGGGGGGGGTCCAAAGTGGCAATGCTCATGCCACTGCAACCAACTGGGGAATAAGCCAGGCCAACAGAACAGCAACAAATGTTCCTTATTTGCCTCCCAAGATGTGACCCAGAAGGCCAACCACCTCAAGTGTATGTATAGCAATGCACACAGCTTGGGGAACAAACAGGAGGAACTAGAACTCCACACCCTGTCAACTTGGTGATTGCGTCACGTTGTCTGGGGTGAGGTTCGCAGGTACTGCCCTGAGGTCCCAGTCCTCCAAATATGTTGAATCACCTCCCTTGCATTCGAGGACTTGACTCAGCCATCTCTGGTCTCTCCATGTCAGCTCCTGAGGAAAGCAGCCTCCCTTCTTTGGTGTGTGAGCATACTGTGCATATCCCAGCTGGGCTGGCTTCCAGCTGTGGTAACACCCCATGGGCATGAGTTTCTGCCCATCATGCTCACTGGCACATCCTCTTGTATTGCTACTACTTCCCAGAGTGTGACCTTGTGTACCAGCGTCCCTCAGCAAATCCTCTTGGCCAGACACTTGCTTCACTTTCCAGAGAACAGATATGGGGCTGAAATGGCTGGCGATCAGCCCTCCTTAATGATGCTGGTCTTTGGCTAGGGTTCCCTGCTCGTTATGTGCAGTAAGACTTGAGCAATATCTCAAGTCTTGTCCAGGAATCAAGTCCTCCTGATTCCTGCCCAGCTGGGGAAGGCAGGCACTACAGTCACAGGGCTTCACCTTTAACGGAGCAGCCAGATTTTGTGCCTAACTACCATGGCAATAGTTCAGTCAAACAGAGGTCTTGTTTCACATTGTCAAGTAAGATTAATACATCACAAGGTTCATTGACTTGATAACATAGATGGAGGAAAGAGAACAACATTCTGTCTCACTGCTTGATAGACAAGGAGGAAAGTCCTGCTTGTCTGGGATGGACAGCATGTGAAATTCTCTGTGCCCTCTGCTCTTCTCATTCACTTTGGATCACTGGGCCAATATCAATGGCATGAGTTTCAACAAGGGCAAGTGCCAGGTTCTGCACACTTGGGCCACAATAACCCCATGCAGCGCTACAGGCT